ATAGACGAGCATCATTGCCGCAGGTTGTAAACAAAACGTAGCTTTTTAGCATGCTGGTGGACAAAACGTAGCTTTTCTGGTAGAAAAACGTAGCTATACTGCTGGACAAACGTAGCTTTTCCCAGGCACTGCTCGATAGTGTTTGTTCTCGAATCTCGCCCACTTGACATGATTCATAAGAGGCTACAAACCCTGATATATATTTTTAACCAGATGATGTACAGTTAGCTTTCTGCTATCTCATCATTATCGTTCACACATAAGCTCACTGGTGTCGGCAAGTTTCAAGTGCTTTGCCTCCTCCATGCAATTACTGTCTCATAGCTGTCACACATCTTCAGGTTCAGAATTGAAGGGTTTTAATATCGTCATGGTGGAAATCCGAGCAGTCTTCACGGAAGCTTTACTCCTGACAACCTATCCTTTCAACGTCGACTTGCTATTGAAGTACTCTCAAAGCAGAGGTTTTCTTCTTTGTCCTGGTATCTTTTTTACGCCAGCCTCGAGTGGCAAATGGTAAGTGTCTGGCCAATTTGATACTGTTTTTGCAGCCACCAAAAGATCTGGTTTCAGAGTGCTATTGAGGTTTATTTGAACGCTAGCACCGGAAACATCAATGTACGGATCAATCTGCCACATCATGAAAGCTGAAGATTCGAAAAATTTATATTTCTCATACTTTTATTCCGTATCTGGTAATTCCATCTGCCGTCTTCGGAGCACACAATAATGTCGCTACCCCCGCTACACTAGCTGCGTGCTATATTATGGCGTTTATAAAACTTTATTCAGAACGCCATGGATACATATGGATATTTCATACGATGCCACCATACCATATGTGCACAATAGTTAATAATACAGACTTATGCTGCATTGTAAACCCTACGTTTAGAACACAGCTGGAGGACTTATTTTGCTTTTAGCTTCCTGTAAATGTTGTACACAGGGGCTACAAGCAAAACAGCTTCAAAGCTGTGACTTCTTTTTATTGTAGTCTTCTGTAAAGCTTGTACATAGAAGGCTACGAGCAAAACAAGCATCACCTCCATCCGAGTTGCTGCTGAGCTCAACCGAAACCCTTGTACTGTTTGCCATATGATGGATGTGTGTTGGTGAATCGCTCCCAGCTGCCTCGGCCTTTCTTTGATGTACATGTGGCCGCCTGGTGCGGGCATTGCCCCTTCCTCCCGCTGGAAATGAACCCACATTTAAACAACGATTCTCCGCCCGCCTGAAGTCACGAGATAAGTACTGACAGCGCCTGTCTTGCCATCAAACTAATTGCTTGTGAACAAATCGTCCTAACAGGGGAGTGGATGGGAGTGCGTCCAGCCCATGATGAAAATCTTTAATTTACAAACAAGAGATAACGGTCTCCTCAGAGTGCATGTAGATTGCTTTCGTTTTGAGAAAGGTTTAATGTCAAGGTTTTCAACCAATATGCCTTTCTTTTCCCATAATAGGTTTATTTTTCATACCTGTCAGACTTAGCGTGTCTTAAGAGCGCCCACCATCTGTACTGAAATTTAGCGTCTTTTTGACATGTTGATGAAGCACAATCTGCTGTTACAGGTTGCAGGCAGCCGCATCGCTCACAACGTTGTCTCGGTGGTTTAAATAATTTACTTGCATCGTGTACGAAGTTATATAATGCCTTATCACTGTGTTAACATTCCCTATGTACCATGGATAACATGTGCCGCGGGTACCTAAAACTGGCGCCATCGCAGCCCTAACGAAGTTGTGAATTTCCTTCAGGTTAGGTTACGTCTCAATTGGGACCTCCTGCCCTTCCGGCGCTGTAATGAACGCGGTGTCGTCTCCGTTTGCAGTTTTTATCTCCCCCTAACGCGTCCACAAAGCCCCGCTCGTAAATACTTAATGTGGAAAGCGAGCTGTATAATACGTGACTTCATTTTTACTGCAGCAAAGTTCACGGTTTAATGCAAAAGCTCGGGGGAAGAAATGCTTTCAGCTACAGATCAGGTCGGCACCATTGTGTATCCGCCATGCAGACTGTCAAAGTGTTATATCAGGCTCTGTCATTTTACATTACATATCTAATAAACGCCATAGTTTATCTGTATCCTTCTTTCAGTCACGCAGTCACGCTTGACAGATAAAACGTTGGAGTTGGTCTAGTAGGAATTCCAGTTTCCAAGGCAGGTTCGGTATGTTTTAGAGTTGACCATTGATTTCCATTACATTGATTGGCTTGAAGGTACCGACTAATTGCCAGCATTTACTGCCCGACCACCATTAGATAACGCCGCCTGACAAGGAAGCAATTAGCCAGCGCGAGCTGTTTGCCCAAAGTTCCTTTGTGTCCGTCGAACAGAAATTGGAATTGGATGGGAAGGAGTTACGTTCACTTCCTGGAAGCCCTCCTTGTACATGTGAATATGACGTAATCCTAGCTGGCAATGCCAGTGGGCTTTATAGAACACCCAACTTGAATCACGCAAAAATATGCTCTCAAATAAAAGGACTTCCAATTTTCATAAAACGGATCACAAGAATTATCATCTGGATAAAGAGGAGGCCGTGTGTACACCACAAAACGTTTGGTACTAACTTTGGTTTGAGAACAGCTTTGGTGCAGGTTTTAGCCAATAACCATATTAGCTCTAGACAGCTTCAGAAAGATAAGTTTTCTTAAATCTCTCCTCTTAGAATAGAAACTCTCAAAGAAACGACGTCACTACGATTCATCTTGTAAGGCTTTAGAAATTCTTTTGTTCGCATTTAGTCAATGACCATATCAGCTCCAGGCAGATTTAGACAGATAGGTTCTCTTGGATTGTCCCTCTGAGAATAGAAAATATCTAAGTAACGTCACTACGACTCATCCGGTAAGGCTTTAGAAATTCTTTTGTACGCATTTGCCATATCCATATCAACTCCAGACAGCTCCAGGCAGATTTAGACAGATAGGTTCTCTTAGATTTTCCCTCTGAGAGTAGAAAAAAATTTGTGCCGTCACTACGACTCCTCCGGTAAGCCTTTAGAAATCCTTTTGTTCGCATTTGCGTCAGCGTCGCACGCAAAAGCAGACACTGCGGCCATAAAAGATCCTCCTTGCTTTCAGAGGGACTATACAATGCGTTTCACTCCGATTGGGATGTTTACAACTGTGCATTACGAAATTGGTTCAGACTTTATATCCTCATTAATCGTGTCCAGGGTCTGTACCGTTATCTCATCACATAAAGTTTCATGCTGAACGCTTTAAGAGGTTTTATTAGTCCAGATGTTGTTCGAACAGTAGACGATTTAGTAGACATACAAGTTTGACATTTATTTATACTATTAGGTGACAGTAGTATTTCATATTTGGCGATTAAACAAGTTGCTCGATCATCTTAAAACACCCCGGTAAGTATCTGGGAATTTAGACTACTGGTATTCTTTGATAGGGTAATGACCACAGTGCTGAGAGTAATGTCGCTTGGTCATGAGATATGGCATGAACCACGGGAGTTCAAGGTTTCAATTGTAAAGAATATGGCGTCTCTATGTTTTATGTGGAAGGTATTAACTGTCGTGGCCACTAATAAAGGTTGCTCACAACTGACACAGAAACGATGCCATAAAGCATATGGCTGTATTAAGATGTAATATAATACAAGAATTGGTGTGATTTTTAAAGGAGTATACTAATAAATACTGGTGAACTATGCCCATGAATTTCTGTAGAGACACCATATTCTTTGACACAATGGCTTAGGGACCATTCATGAAAACTGATGCCATACTTTGTCTTTTTTGTTTAGTTAAAGTAAAACAACATTCAGTCAACATGTACTAAACAATGTTCCTTCTATTTATTGAAAATCGTGAAAAATATCTACAATCAAAAATTCCATATTATATACATCCACGAACAGACTGATTCAGATCTAGCATAATCAACCATTAGACGTGGCCAGCCATTAAATGGATGTACAGCGTTTGCTTTCACATTGTAGATGCTGAGATGTCCCGAAGGCGGATTATATTTTCTTCTTCGTAGTAGTTCAATTTACATTCAGTAAAGCAACACATTTCCATATCACCAATTCCACAACTTCAGCTGACTTTTTAAAATCCTTGACCCTGAAGTCGAAAATGACGTTGATCCTCCCGGCACGACGGCGGGGAATGAAAAGAAATTCGACTGATGGAATTTGAAAGCCGCTATAATTGTTGCCTGCCACACCTTCCGCGTCCCGACAACTAAATGCCAACGGCCTCAAACTTTCCTCAGACGCTGAATTAGGGCATCGACGCCGCTTTACTAAAATTAATGAGACGGATTTTCGGAAGATATTTTAGCCATTCTTCTCTATTACCAAGTAGGTTTTCCATGACCCTCTAAAAATCCCCCTTTCGGTAATTCCCAAGCCTTCATTTCTCTCATGTAATGTTTGCGGAGTTATAAATGTCAAGGTGGATGAAAAGACAAGGACATGAGCCTGGTTGTCCATCATCCAATATCAACTGATGCTGCCGAATCTCGGATTCTATTAAAACCATTCCCCGTTCATTACGTCGTCTCACGATGCCATTTCGCAGTAATGATCATCAGGCTCCCTTATAAGGAGACTATCCCGCGGTGAAGCCTGCGATTTCCCGCGAGAACAACACATTTGGTGCTGGTACACGGCAGCTTTAGGAGAACATCACCAACCATTGATAACAGGGGAGACTGGAGCTGGATGGATGAGATATGTCCCGGTAGCTGTCTTCTTCAATCATTTTCTCCATCCTATTGGAATGAATGCTTTCTGCGTAAGCCCCAGATACCATCGCCATGGGATCTGTTTGTATCTTTGCAATATCAGAAGAGCGCCGTCGCATGACATTGGAGTGGAAAGTATGAAATATCTAGCGCCCCATGTCGATGTTATCCGACCATCTGCCGGAACAGACGTCACCCTTGCTTCCTCCTTTCTCCTCAATATCTCACCACGTTTCCTGTTCACGTCTATTCTGAGACACGTTAGTGTGTCCGTGTATTGTGAGCAGACGCAACCTTTTGCATTAGTTGATCCAGCTCAATTACTGTGCAAGGCCCCAAACTTGATATACTGGTTGCCATCCACACGATCGGCAGCCGTCCGCGATGTGTTAATAGAGTTGGTACTTCAAGTAATACTGTGGTCGGTTAACGATTCGCAGCAGGGAAGAACTTGAATCAAATCCTCGCTGCCATCCGGAATGTCACACATCTTATTCTGACTTCTTCTTCTCTCGGCGTGGTGTATTCCAGTCCGAGCAATGACGGCCTTGCCGCTACTCTCCTGGACATACAGTATCTGTTCACCGTCCTTTGGCAGGCCAAGCTTCTCCTTTTCAATAAAGTTGTTCTCCAGGCGTTTCGGCACCGGATCGCTGACAGAAAAGACGTGGTCGTCCGATCTCCCCGCGTCGATCTTCGCCCTCTTTGTAAAGACCAGCGCCACCAGCAGGATAATGAGCAGGATGGTCGCCCCGCCGGCCGCCCCTCCCAAGATGGCGGTCCACTCTGTCTCGTCACCTTGTCCCATCTGAGCTGCTGGAGAGGCAAAAATGGCAAAACTGTAGCAATCATCCACAAATGGAAATTTAGTGAAAGTTCCTCAATATTTGCATGCGTTGAGTACGGCTAAAGCAGTAGAATCTGCTTGTATAAACAAGCAGATTCTGCGATGGCGAGACAGTATCCAGACGAGTGTCTTCGGTGGGCAATGGACAATCCTGTGGCCAATGGATACTGTCTTGCTACCGTAGGATCTACTTGGAGATTACTAGAGCAGATGATTCGATGTGAATAGAATATTGTGTTTGGATTACTACATGGCATACCGGTTGTAGCTGGGGAACTATCCTCAATGACGATCACAGGCACAATCTTTCTGTCCGGCTTCCCAAGAGTGTTTGACGCTGTGCAGACGTAATGGTCACTGTCTTTCACGTTCAGATCAGGCAGAACCAGTAGAGATCCAGCAGTCCCGTGGTACATCGCGGCTGACAGAATGTCGTCACTTCCGTCTTTCTGCCAGTAAACTTCCGGTGTAGGGTTTCCATCTGCAGTGCACCAGAGTAAGGCAGTTCCTCCTGCTTTCACTTTGACAGGGCCTGTCACGTTCACTATTGCTGCCGGATCTGGAAGAGATTTAAGATATTGAAGAAAATTGCTTTCTAACTAACTTAATTAAGGAGTGCAAGCCATAACCAATGAGAGCAATGCATCATAGATGATAGCGTCTGCAATAAATTTTCGTGAATGCCGTGTATATGTACAATATTCTAGATAGTACAAGGAAGGATTAAACTGATATAACTAATATTATAGATTCTCAATTCCAAAGGGCATACAGTGTTATATGCTGACAGTATGTATATATATATATATATATTGCCTTTTCAATTTCATGCCTTATCCTTAAGTCCGAATGTAGTTCTGCCGTAGAAAATCCGGAATTGACATTTTATTTTGTGGTCTTTTACTACTTTGACTGCTTTCCTCTTTGTGTGCCCTTTCTCGTGGTCATGGTTGCCAGGACTAATAGAATACCCGTCCTGACACCCACGATTCAAACTCCACCCACAGTCATGTTTCAGTTGCTGCCTTTTATGAGATCCCAGCGACATTGTGACCTCTGTCTGTGCTCACAGCACTTCCTCTGAGTCATTGCAGTCTCTCAACGTTTAAGAGATAGAATTGATCCCGTGTCAATTAGTTATGTTGTGCAACAAAGGCTTTATTTCTTGACTAAACTTTCGCAATTAGGATGTTAAGTTTTATCTTAAGTTTGTGCCTTTGTTACTGTGTTAAGTAGTTGATGCCATACACTGTACCGTGTACTTATCGTGCATTTAAGTTTAAATGTTTTTATTCTGTCAATAATACCGTCGTACTTTCACAAACATTTCCCTTTGCTGGTGACCTAAACGTTTCGCTGTCAAAACGTTATGCCCAACCATACTGAAATGTACCCAGCCACACTATGACCTCTCTCTGCTCTCACTACACTTCTCCTGAGTCAGTACTCTTCTCTCAACTTTAAAGGCGGCGCTTGACATAGAAACAATTCCATGTTAAAATATGTTGTACAGCTTTACTTGTCATCAAACCTTTTCCTTTCTTTTATGAAAAAGAAACTGTTCCAAACGATAGGAACATTATTCGCCAGATTTTTTCTTTCATTATCAACTTATTACACATTCTTATTTAAAAGGTTATGTCCTGGAACCATACCCAAACTTACCCTCCAACATGGCCGCAAAATGAAGGTTAAATTTTACTGCTTATCTCTAGACCCAGAGAGAGTCATTGCAGGGGGAGTTAAACTGTGGTATAAAATCAAATCCAATTATATGCTGCACAGGTATGAAAATACCAATCTCAGCAAAAGCGCTAGTAACCTCCCCTCGTGCAAATAATGTCTCATAAAACCAGATTTAGTACACATGGAGGACAGGTTAAAGAATATGAGGGGAAACACTGGATGGTTTAAGCTGTGCAGACAAATTAGTGAGCTTACAGCAAAGTGCACTTTGTTGTCATAACACCGCTTCACCTTCCTTAGGGAGCTTTATTCCTTAACCCAGGGCTCCTACCTTAATTTTGGTACATTCCCAACTTTGATTTGAGAGCGAATATAGGAACTATGCAAATGTTTGCAATTTCGATGGCACATTTAATTTGGTAAATTGAAGGATGTGACCTATTTGCGGATGCAGGCTTGGAAGTTGTTGAGTTTACAGTTATGCCTCTAATCTCTTCTCGTGCTTTTATAATGAAGCGACGGTACCGTTAGTGGGATTTATAATCATTATAAGCAACCACTGATTAAAACTGAATCGTGTATACATCATTATAGTGTTATGTGTCTATGGCTACAGCATACGCAATATTTTGGAACCTTGCATGTCTCTGAAGTTGTTTTGAAACAACAGAATTCTGTGGGGAGGTATATATTTTGTCTGACCCATATCTCTTCCGTGCCTGATGACTTCAATGAAAAGCGGCCTGCAGGCGGATTTCAGCCTCACATAAATAGCAAAGGCTCATAAGGATGAGCATAGTGTAAGTTCCTTTTAGGTAATTGAATATCACAAAACACCACTCACAAACGACCACCAAGCTGAGACTGTCAGTCTGTGAGCTGCGGCCCTGTTGAGCGACACACGTGTAGTTCCCACTGTCAGCCTTCCCAACACTAGTCATCGTCAGGGATGACCTGTACACGTCCTGGGCGTCGATGACGAGCTGGACAGCGGCCGGGGGAAGAGACTGTCCGTCCCGCAGCCAGAAGATGCTGGGATCCGTGGAGCTGGTCTTCTCCACGGTACAGTTGAGGATGACGCTGGAGTGGAGGGACACGCGGAGGGGACTCTGGAGGCCTACTGTTACCATGGGTGGCGCTGTGAATATTAGAATAGAACATCTTATAGCTGTCAACAGCAATCAAGAAAGCGATATTCAGCAACACGGCCGAGCAACACACTTTTTTCATAATACTCATTCAACAAGGGACTAACATGATATCATAGGGCATGATATCAGAGGTAACAACATGATATCAGAGGGCAGAGTGAACAACAACGATATCAATAGGGTTATTGAAGTGGAATTTTCTTGGCCAACATTTCGGTACTCCTCAGATACCTATTTCAGGACCTGAAAGACATCCGCACTGATTCTTGCAGCAGGATAGTGCTTCAGTCAGTTCAGTGCTGCATTGTGATTTAGGAACCCCATTTTCAATTGCTACGACTTACCAACCTGATGTAGCTATTCATGGCTATCTTTTTTACTGTTAATACCTACCTAGTACGTCCAGATAGACGTAATGCTCCTGCTGCCCGACCGCGTCCACAAGAACAGTCATGACGTACTGACCCTCGTCCTTAACCGTCACGTTCATGATGGTCAGCGATCCGTTCTTGTTGAGCAAAGCCCTGGGACAGAGGAGATTTTTCAATGGACGTGTATATAGAGTCATATGGGAAGTATCTTTATATCAGCAAGTATTATTACCCCAGCTGCTGTCTTTACCTACATAGGCCTACTGCCCATCCTTGGGCATATACCACGGACTAGCTATAGGTCCCTCCCTCTGGTGCGGTCCTGGGTCCTCTCAACAAGTTGCTGTCTTTGCTAATGCCAAAATTGATAGATGTGACGTTGGTGTTAATATCTGCCTATTCTGTAAATCGGAGCTAGAGTAGGATGGATACCAGGTTAGGATGGTTGTCAGTTAGTAATATTTACTATTTCAATGTTTCTTACAAACAATTACGGCCTTTTTCGTTACTAAGTGACAATAGATTAACATCTAGAAAGTAGCTTGCACGTTGTTTGTTACCTGTCTTTAAGCGGGCCCAGCGACAAAGAGTTCCTACTGGAAACAGAGTACAGGAACACGGGAGTCCGGGTTCCCTCGATCCGCTCGTCCATCTTGTTCCACGTCAGGGCGATGACGTGTTCGTGCTGGTTGTACGTGGCGGGCAAGGTCACCGTCTCACCGGGGGTCACCTGGATCGTCAGTGACACCGGCAGGCCTTTGTTGCAAACAACCTCTGGAAAATAACAAATTAAGAAAAATCTCGTGAATGAAGCATCCACGAACTCGTTGCAATAGCCGTCGGCTGCCTGTATGTTCATGTTTATTGTACGTGGCGGGCAGGGTTACTGTCTCACCAGGCGTCACCTGGATAGTCAGGGACACTGGCTGGCCTTTGTTGCAAACGACCTCTGGAAAATGACAAATTAAGAAAAATCTGTGAATGAAGCATCCACGAATCCATTGCAATAGCCGTCAGCTAGTTGGGTAGCCCTGCCTGAATGTTGGTTATACGTGCCTCTGGAAAGTTACAAATGGTTCGAAATCTGCTACATGAAGCATTCATGAACCCATTTTTTAACTAAAAGTGCATCGTAATATACCCAGAGTCTTTTACCTGTTATCTTTCTTAGCTTTGCACATTTCTCTGCCAGTTCGTAATTAGACAATTTGTAGGTAATCAGGTAAACAATGTTGACCCTTAGTTGACCTTTGCCGTGGTTCAAACCACCTGATTACCTTAAAAACATCGCATGCTGTCTGTTGGTACTACTTGCATCGCGTCCTTTTGTAGTGTATCTATGTTGTTAATAGGTTCATGAAAGTGACTAGAATGACCTGAAATTTGACGGAAATCAATAGAGTTCTTTATAATTGATAGCTTTGCCCCAAGGTATGCCACTTCAATCTGAATAAGCCTCGTATCTGCAGCACTAAGACTAACAATTTCATTAGGAAAGGAATAACGAAGACCACAAGACGGAGTTGATATTTGGACTCAGACGCTGTCTAGACGCCGAAGTCTGTTGCTGCAGGCAAGGATTCAAACTTCTACCTTCAGATCGTACGTGATAATACTACACAATGTTCAACTTGTTATCAGTTGAAAGCCCTTACCACCGCAAGGGAAAGACTCAACAAACTTTCTTGCAACAGGCAACAAGGGAAATGTAAAAGTTTTTTTTCCTTGGGGCAGGCCGTGTCATCCAGTGTGCACCGGGAAATAGGTTCTGCATTAGTATCACAAACGCGAGGCTGAAATACTCTGTGTGGTCACGCATGTAATGGGGAAATCAAAGCCCAACGCTAATACAGCTCCCCGGAGGGCTCAATTGCCCAATAAAAGGTGAGGTGTGAATGGAATTTATCCGTTTTGCAGTTAACATTGCGGATGACGTAGGCGGTGGTTATGTTCCCCAGGCTGTGATACGTGTTCCGGTTGGACAGTTCTGAGGGGGCTAACCACAGATAGAACTGCACGGAGGCGTGAGATGTGGGGTATGGAATTAGGTGCTGAGGTTAGCCTCACTCTACCAGGCTTCAGAAGCAGCTGGCAAGAGTAGAAATTGGCCACCAAATAAACAGAGAACATGCCAGAGGAGTTGGTCTGCTAAAGTAGTGCATAATAGTTTGTGAACGGCAAACTCTACTGTAACAACTTTATTTAGTGGACCAATTTCTCTGAATTTCTATTGGTCTATTTGGCAAATTTCTTCTCTTTCCGGCCACGCCTGAAGATAGGAAGAGGCTACTTAATAAATCAGCCATCCTTACTTGTAGCTTGAATGGGAGCTAGAAAGAAGTCAAAAGAACATCCTTAGATGCCCTCATTGGTTGACTCGCGGCTTCCTTTCGCTGTTCATTCATTCATCCCTCTGTATACATGTATCTCGTCCTCTCTCTGTGTCTCTGTCTCTTTCTAATTCTGTCTATCTATGTGTATATCTAGAGCAGGAGTCCATAGAAATGAATTGATTAATTGAAGACAAAGACCATTTGTCTTGCCCCGTAGTTCCGTTCGATGATCAACTTATGTCCAGCGGAAATGAATAGGCGGCCATGCCTGGCCGGTATTAGCGTGATGGATGAACTTGACTCCATAGTCGGAAATGGGGACCATTTTGGAGAGCCGATAGCGGTTTGGTACACATGCCGGAGCTGTAATCTGTCTCAGTTAAGGCATTGGAAACAGTTCATTCTTTTTCTACATGTCCAGACGGGGTCATTGATTATTTTCTAGCCGTGGAAAACTTTTAATCTGTGATAGCTTTGTGTTTTTGCCAAACTGTGTTTCTGTTGTTCAGTATCATTAAAATGTGTACTTTAAAGTTCATCAATCAAAGCACTTTTATAACCAAGTGCATGTTTCAGAAAGAGTCATTGAAAAGTCCTGCAGGATGTGTTTAGAATGCGCAATGAGCGTGAAATGGTTCGGCTGGTCAGAGTAGTGTGAATTTGCCCTTGCTCCACGCTGCACTTGGGACTTCAGTTCTAACGTACGAAAGGTCAGAGCAACAGCTGTCGGTGATATAACGTGATTTCCTGCGCACTCCGAGTGGGTGGAAACGGCCCCCTCGGTCCTCTGACAGCGCTGCAGCATTAGGGCTGCTCCCTTCTACCGCAGTAAACACATCGATTTTCACAGGAAACTTATGTGTTTTCCAGTTCCTTCCCAACTGTGCTATACTAAATAACGTTTGTTTTATGTTCTTTCCAAACTTCTCCTAATCTTTTTGAGTACACCTACTTTTTGTTATTGCTGCTTTGCTGGTTCCACACACCTTCGGTTCTTAAGTGCTTTAGTCAGGGAGGAGGAGATGGATTCTTGTGTCAAATGTGTCTTCGGTAAAAACGAATTAAGAGATCAGTTTAAAGTGTATTACTGTAATGTAATATTTCATCTAAATCCGCCAAAATCTTGGTAAGCAATGATAGTAAATCAACAGGTATCATTAAGTCATAATGGGAGCTGTAGGATCACGCTGGTAATGATCATAGCACTTTCCACTAAGGTACGCCATAGTGTTACTGTGGCCGGCAGATCATTTGCCGCTTAGAAAATCTACCCGTTCATGAGTTTGAAAACACATTACACTTTATCTTAGCAAGCTCGGACAACATTAAATGGTAGGCTTGCTTGAGGTGTGTGTTTTCGGTGCACCAGGGCTATCAATGAATACTTGTGTTTACCAATCATTCAGGAGATGGTGCCAAGTATTCACAGATGCTTGCAGCTACATATATGCTCACCAAGATAAAGCGCCATGCCATCCCAGAGTTACTACTATCAGGGAAAAGAACTTCAGGGGCAAAGAACTTGCCAAAGTATGCACATTTCGTCCTACCTGTCGTAAAAGCTAGAATGACAGCCAGCGCTGCGCACGTAGACCACGGCATCGCCACCTCTCTTCAGGCCGGTTGAGTCAGGTTGATTTTTTCAGTTTGACAAGTTGCTGCGTCGACGTGCTTTGCTCTGCGTCTCGGGAAATCCTTCATGCGTCGTTGCAGAGATTCACTGGGCGTAGATCAAAGATGATGAAAGACAGAGCTGTGGCCATCTGGAAAACACAAGCGGAGAAGTCTACATAAATCATCTTCATCAGCCACTGAGCACTGATACGAAAAGCGGAAATGAGAGTATCTAACTATCGTGTAAAGAGATGCATCAGACTGTAAGTAGGTTAATTGTTATGCGATGTCAGAGGGCAGAAACGATGCCAGCAACAGTCCGTTAATCGACGGGAAAAGACTCCGGGGCGACATTACTCTTGATGATGTTATGCGCGAGCAGGGTAGGGGACATTTGTCCCGTTTCCCTGAGCACGGGCCAGATGTAGTCCTCGCGTGTGCTGAATGGATAATCATCGCACGTACGCCTGCTAGCTACGGGGCAAAAACAATGAATGACACACCAGGCACACACCAGGTTTTGTTAAGATCAATACGAGTTCACCAATGGTAGCAAACTTCTAAAAGACGGATATTTTTCATCTTACTCCCACCGGCTGCCGTGTAGTCTCTGGTGTCGAAGAAAGGCCTTAAGGGTTCCGTTTGAATAATGGCAACTTCCCTTCAGTGGGAATACATGTATCGATATAAAGTAGAACATATTTCTACGATATAAAATTAGACGTTTCGAACGTTGGAGCAATGGAATGTCATTAGTAAAGGGATTGATTAATCAGTCGAAACTTTGTCAATTCTCAGACTCATCATCATCATCAGTTGGCTGCAGTGAAGGCGACTGCAAGTTTCCTCCATTCCCCCTGTTTTTAGCTAGGTCAGAGATCTGTTTCACCGAGTTTGGTGGTGTAATCTCCCAGTAGATGTTGAATTTACTGTAAGTAAATGGGTCATAGAGAGGTTGCTCGTCAGGCAGGACTACAGCTTTCAAATCAATGACAGTGAAAAGTATACTAGGTCTAGTTTCTACGCATATTTACTACGCATATTTACCATAGTCTTAGTTGCAGCATTTAGCTATTACTCTAGTATAAACACTTATCATGTAAATAGGTGACTAATATTTGGATGAATCTGACACGTTTGGATCCATCAAATGGAGATCTTCATCAACCTCGGGGCAGATATGCTCTTAGGAAGAGACCGGAAGTAATCAAGCTCTTTCAGTTGTAGCTAAAGTGTTGAAAAATGAACGTGGCACCTATCAGGCCGGGGGGAGGCTTTTAGACTGTTTGCGCTTGCTGACCTAACTGAACCTGACGCCACGTTCTACTAAAAGTACACTTTCCTTTGAAACGGACACCTTGAGGGGTTGAAACTGTAAGCAATGTTATTCCCGACTACTTGATGCATACCAAAAACTCGCCTGACAGGATGAATTTCCTTCCTAGGTTGATTGATTCAATTTCCTGCTCGCAAATTAACTGGATGACAAAACTGCTGGACCTGAATTAATTCTATACCAATCTCCGAAATAGATAGATCTCCTCTTTGTCCGTAGCGCCCTTGCCCTTATTTAGCCAGGATATTTTTATTTCTTTAACAGCAACAAGTCAGCGAGAAAAAATGACATTATGTGAACATCATGTAAGTTCCTTAGCTGCCCACAGATATGCTCAGTTGCATTGGCAGTACCACAGAAAATTATCACGACAGAAATGTATTATCAATAATATCGTTCTTTTTTAAGGCATACCTGCCTTCTGAGGAAAAGATTGATCGAGTTTGCGGAAACTCAGCACAGCATGTATAGACTAGACACCACTAATATTTCAACTTTCAGACTACTTTCTACGACCGACTGAGTTTACTTTGATAATAACACTAGCTGTGACCAACTTTTTCATCCCTCTTGGGAGGGGGGCAAATGTGTGTCTGATCGGCCATGATGGAGCGGTTTAACCATTTGAAAAGAAACAGCGAGATAACGACATACCGTCTACACGGTGTCTGGAAAGCTCTAAGGCGGATTTCGCCACGGGAAGTGCTGTTTTGTCTAATAGTCACCATCATCAATCGTGCTGTAAGGGAGATTAACACTAAGTGTTTGTTAGGTCCGATGTGTAACATTTTCGTGCCTACAGTCAATTCTGTCGGCTCGGGGGAGACATGAGATTACCAACCATACTTACTGCTGAGGCATTTGGGCAATAGAAAGTGCTTAGCTGCGCGAGACCGGATAAAATTGATACCCCTGGCAGCTTTTAGAGTATTATCCATTTCTTGGTTTTATTGTCGATTTGTGCCTCAGGATATGTCGGTAATGCCGAAGTGTCCTGGTGCGGCGACGTCTACTAAAACTGCCAGCAGTAAAAAGAAAGAGAACAGAATTATTTCACCATGTAACCACTATGTCATTTCTCCAACAGCTATGACTCAAAGGTTACCCATGACAAATGCCCGAAACGCGCGCAGTTTTATCACATGTGTTTCGGGATCCTTTAAGTAACAGGCAGCTCTTTCATGCTGTAAATGCCATCACCACAGGCTTGTCAGGCAGCAGCACATCATTTTTGTACAGCATAGTAATGGAGTAACCGTTGGGTACAAATTATATGCATTGCGACTACTTGTACGCACAGGACACGGCTTGTTGATAAATATACATACATGCAGTTCTGCTTCTTTCGAAAATAGCTGATTCATAAAAGTCATGATAGACAAAATTAAGAATTCATAAACGACTTGATGAGAGTTCAGCCTCCGCAACGACATAATAACGATATAACACAGATAATTGTGTTCATAATCGAATATAATCATAATGTATAGTTTGTTGTCTTTGCCATATGGTGCACAGCCTAGCTTAATCAAAGTTGTTAGATCATCCGTGATATACCAGATACATCATGATTGGGACATAGTTAAGGAATCTAAATGATCATCTTTACTTATTTCGTATCTTCAAGGTATGGAGAAGTGTGATATCTTGATGAAACATTACATTATATTGGGTTTGAAATGGTCTGGAATGGAGCCAAATGTGTAATCAAAGATTGCAAAGTATCCGAAACAACCCTATCCCAAACGATTTCAGGCGAATTCATCTAACACTTTAAACGCGTTTCGCTATCTGCATCTGTATAGCCGGTATAACCGTAACAGACCAGCTATGCTGATGATGACTATTTTATCAACGAAAAGTAAACAACTTGAATCAAACCTTTTCCACCATCAATCCGGGGTGAAGAGGCGAGTTGAACTATGTTGTAATGCCGGTGAATGTTGAAATGCCCATCATGTATGCCGCGCTCCTGTTGCCGGTGGACACAATGACTATTTCTCGCTCTTAAAACGCCCCCGTAAAGACCGTTAAGGGTGCTACGAGAAATGTTCGCGATAAACACGGAACAAATTGGCGTCCAAAGCACCACGTTATACCGAACTGCAGCTGGTTATCCATTTGATGACTGAATGGCGAGCGATGCGGAGCCTAGCGGGATAAAGCTGATGAGGTTCCGCAGGAAATAACTTAGCTCAGGGCCGTATCTATTTAAGTGGTTAGAAAGTGGCCGGCGCGGTGCCTTAACGACAGGAAGACATTAATCTTTGGATAAAGAACCATCTGTACTTAAGATGAAGAGGCACGCCACGAGCTGGTACCGCAGCTACTCCGTCTCAGCCAGATCACCCGCTGGGCTGAAAACACAGCAGAAACTGGCGCGTTTTCACTTCTATATATAGCGTGACAAATTCGCTGGCAAAATATTCCCTTATTCAGCGAATTAATGTATATTTCTGCTATTTTTACAGTGCAAAGAGAGTCCTGAGGCGACTAGAAGATATTACAATGCGTGAAGAGTTTGCGAATAACGGATCTTGTTCCAGCGTGTTACACAGGGGGCCAACACAGGCTGTGCCAGGAGCGAGTCAAACTGACCTCAGTGGGACCTGAGCAAAGGAAACAATCTCGCCGGTTTGGCAAAGGCAGTAAAGTCGTTTGGTTCAAAGTCCCGGGGCATTGCTGGGTCCTGGCCATGGAATAAATCTCCGTACGGAAGGATGAAGGGGAATAAAAGACACACAGCCAATTTTGTCACATAAATATGGTAGTATACACTCTTGACGACGTATCTGTGTGTGTTTGTGGTGAGATATCGCACTTCTGTTGGAATAAAAATGACAGCATTTGAAGTGAGTTTGCCCTTTCTGACACAGCATTTAATGTGGCAAGCAAAGAACATGACCATTGTGCATGTACAAACACTTGAAATATCCACCAGGATTTCCTTTTTGTTCGGGGTAGAAAAGACCGACTGCCACCTCTACGCGGTGCTCCCTGGGTCAGTGGCAGCGCGCGGCAAACCTCCCAAATCCTGGCCAACGTCATGCCAGATGAGGGAGAGTGGTTGGGCACAGGGCCAGGTAATTTTCCTACATCATTTCGAGTGCCAATCATAACTAAATTAAAACTCCTCAAGGTGAAGGATGCCACTATATTGTAATTGACACTGCAACCCTGAAAGGTGCTATGCGAAACAAAAAGCAACTCGCGCTACCATTTTTGGCCCATGGGGCAATCCTCTGGTTGTGGCGGTTGAGCAATGGCGAGGTTTGTTCGTTGTGACTCCAGTGCAAGTGAAACAGGTGGTCGTTCATGACCTACAGCTAGCGCTGGTGGTGAAAGCAATGACATTGAGGACGTTTTAACCATGGACCAGATAGAGCATGCAGCCAGACGGATTGCTTGATCTTACATGTGATGAACGCCGGCCATCTTGATGTTTTATTGAGGGGATTTCTGACTGACGCATTACTCCATCAAGCTCTTGAAGTTGGTGATGTATCGCTGATGCATCCATCCTTTCATCTGTCGGAAATGTACCCATTTGTATGGACCTCCATTATACGTTCATGAAGCAATCTATTCACGGACCCGCCCGACGTGGTCACAGGGGTCGTTATTCTGCAATCTCTCTCCCTCTCTCTCTAGG